TATATATATATATTTATATATGTATATATATATATACATGCCTTAGCCTGACTCATTGATTGCGGCCTTTGGTGTAAGTCCCTCGGGTTGGGGGTTTGATCCCTGCGTAGGATCGAAAAATTTTTGTGTGCATATTCCTACATGGAAGCATGGAGAAGTAGAGACAATTATTTGACAACACGCATCCTAAGTCCTTGTTTATAAAGCATGGTCATTTCTAGATAGTTTGTGTATCATCCTTGCCGTGTTAAAAATTTGAGCAGTCAAGCACTAAGACAACATGTTAGAGATGTAATTGATATCTCATTTCCCAAAAAATGTTTTAACATTTAAGGTTCATCTTTGAGACACATTGGAACAAACTCTTTGTCGCGTCCTGATATATGAGTAGTCATAGAGTTCATTCTCTTTTCACATCTTATACTCTCCATTATGATGTCTATGCTTTAAAGTTGCTAAAGGAAGATTGCTATTCTATCCTTCTAAATCGAACTCAGAATGCATTCAAATGATAAACTATAATTGATCCATATTAGCGATTCTAATCTCAACAATTGAATCTCTATTAATTGATGGGAAAATTAATAATAATAGGTCACAAATATAGGTGATTACATATATGTAAATATTTTTGTGTGTGTATATATGTAAAGAGAGAGTATTATTCTTTTAGAAGCATATTGTTCGTTCTCTTTGTGTATCTTGTATTCTCAATTAAGATCTTTGAAAAGTAGCTGAAAGTAGATATCCATTGATACCCGAGTTAACCAAAATTTGATTGAAAAACAGATTTTTATCGCGCATAACAACGAGGTTGCTGCCAAGACTCAACAACAGAAAATCAAACATAACACAACCCAAATATCCTGCTAGGGCTAAGCCGGACAACAGGTAGGGCCGCGGCAAGGTTTTGTGGGGTAGAGGGCGGCAAGTGGAAGTAGTGCAAGAAAGTGGTGGGAAATGCTGGAGAAGTAGGTGACGGGATGTTGGAGAAGGCAGGTGAAGGGAAGGATGGAGGAGTAGGTGACGGGAAGGGTGGAGGAGCAGGTGACGGGAAGAAGAGTTGGTGGTAGGTAGGAAGGAGCATGAAAAAGAAGGCTGTGGGTGGGCATCTGTGGCTGGAATTCAGAGGTTGGGCGGGCAACTGGCGCCTAGAAGGAGACGTAGAGAGCACGCTTGCTAGCAAGCAAGGGAGAGGTAAGGGAAATATAGAGACAATCAACCCCTTGGAGCAGGATACAATTGGAGCACCTCCTTTTGGGAATGCTTTTGTCATGAGTCCCAATTTCTCCACCATCTGTGTAGACACCATGTTCTTGCAGCTCACTTCATAATGATGAGATTGCATACTTTTCTGTTCCCATTGCAATAATTGTAGAATATGTTGTGGCGAAACCATTACAGTTCCCGTGTATCCCCCGTCTGTAAGACCTATTAAACCATGGGCATCTCCCTCTCATCCGATGAAAGATGATACACCTTACCCTGTTCTTAAGCTACCTCATCGTCGCTAACCTCTTTCATTGCACCCTGCTCGGTGAAGGACACAACTCGACTCTTCGGGCAATTGGAGGCGATGTGCTCAAATTCATGACATCTAAAGCATTTTCGGGTTGGGACTGTAATAGGTGTGCTACTATTCACTAGCTTCTTTTCACTTTGAGTGGCACTATCTTTATCTGAACCAGTTTTTTCAACTTCCTGAGGCGTGTTCCTGCTCATGTCTCCAACTGCAGTGGTTGCCTTGGTGGTGGTGGTTGTCTGCTCTGTTTCTGCTGTCTCTCCACCTTTAGGGGTAAGATTTGAACATCTATAAGTTATTAATAAGGTTGCAGCTGCACAACATTGTTGATTGCGAGCTTCAAGCCCCTTAGATAAGATGCTATGGAATGTTCCCATGGTTCAACTAACTCACACTTCATCTGCAACTGGTTAAACTGCATTGTAAACTCCTCAACGGATAGGTCTCTCTGCTGTAGGTGGTGGAGTCTTAAAAACATATCCTGACAATAATGAGGAGGTACACATTTTCTCTGTATCTCCTTTTTTATTTTTTTCCACTTGGTAATATTGTCGCTGCTCTCTCTCTTTCTCTGTCTCTGCAAGTTTTCCCATCATAAGGAGACACTCTTATTCAACTTGCTGGCTGCTAATTTCACTTGTTTATCCTTTGGCATTTATACTCGAAGCTACGCTCAACAGATTGTAGTTAATCGATAAAATCATCCGGACCATCAAATTCTGGTAGATCCATTTTGATGCTGAAATCTCTATATTCTTCATATATGGTCTCTTCTCTGCCTCATTTGATACTGAATTCTAAAACATCGGAGCCTATCTTCCTCATCACTAGCGTTTTCTCTACGGAAGAGATTCAGATCCTCATTCCTTCTTCTTCGACTTTTCTGATCACGATCGAGGGTAATTTATCCTTGAATTCCATCATCAATCTTTGCAAGTTTTTGTTGAAGTCGACGAATCTATCGTTGTGTCTCGTCCTGGGTAGGTTATGACATGTATCTTCTTGGCAACATGATTAGGGTTTGGGGATTGGAAGATGGTGGTTGAGGATAAGAAAAATTTTTTTTTGGGGGGTAAGGTGATGTTAGGAAATCATAGAATATGATTAGGATTAGACTAACTCTGATACCAAATGATATCAGAGTCAACAAAATAATTCGATGGAAAAATAGATTTTTATTGCGCAAAGCAACTGAGTTGCAATCAAGGTTCGACCACAGGAAAGGAAACACAACACAACCCAAATATCCTGCCAGGCTAAGCAGGGCAACAGGTAGGGCCACAATGAGGTGGTGTGGGGTCAAGGACGACAAGTGGAAAGAGCGCAGGGGTGAGCAGAAAGGTGATCGGGGATGAGCAGGAAGGTGGTCGGGGATGAGCAGGTCGGTACAGTAGAGGAGCAGTAGATTGGAGTAGTGAGGTGGCAGGAAGGTTGGAGAAGGCAGGTGATGGGAAGGCTGGAGGAGGAGGTGACAGTAAGGCTGGAAGAGGAAATGATGTGAAGGTTGGAGGAGATAGTGATAGGAAGGAGAGTTGGTGGTTGGCAGGAAGGAGCATGACAGGGCATGTTGCAAGTGGTCACCTGCGGTTGGAATTTAGAGGTTGGGTTGGCAATTGGCGCTTGCAGCAAGATGCAGAGAGCACGCTAGCTAGCAGGCAAGGGAGAGGTAAGGGAAACATGGAGGTAATCACCATCTTGGAGCATGATATAGCCGAAGCATCATCTGTCCTCGAATACAGCCTTAAGAGGGAAGATTGAGGACTCCGGTGGCTATCTTGACTGAAAATATTGCAAAAACTTACCCTACATAAAGAAAAGAGCATATTTATAATAGTAGATAACTAAGGAGGGGTAGACCCCTCTCTTAGGCGGTCAACCTAGCCCAGACCAAGGACAGGTCGGCCATTGCCCATCTAGCTAAATTGGTCAGCAAGTTCAGCCCTCTCTAGGCCCTGAATCATCCATTCGATTCTTCTAAATTGTATTTTGGTGGCATGCATTCCAATGATTAAAAGGTGTGAACGATTTAGATATCTTGGGTCTGTTGTCCAAAGCGATGGTGATATAGATGGGGATGTTAATAGTAGAATTCAAGTTGGTTGGTTGAAGTGGAGGAATGCTTCGGGCCTTTTATGTGTCTGCAATGCTCTATGGCGTTGAATGTTGGCCTTTAAAAGCGAAGCATAATAATAAGTTAAGTGTTGCCGAGATGAGAATGATTAGGTGGATGAGTGGCTTTACACTTAGAGACAAAATGCGGAATGAATATATTCGTGATAGGGTTGGTGTAGCTCCTGTGACAGACAAAATTAGAGAAAGTCGTCTTAGATGGTTTGGTCATATTAAACGTCGACCATTAGATGATCCGATTAGGAGAGTAGATGTTTTAAATTCGACTTGTGTTAAGAAAGGCAGAGGTAGACCTAGGAAGACTTGGGCTTATTGTATTAAAAATGATCTTAATTTACTAGAACTAAATGAAAATATGACACTAAATAGGATGCAATGGAGAAAAAGGATTCATGTAGGCGACCCCACGTAGTGGGATTAAGGCTTTATTGTTGTTGTTGTTGTTGTTGCATTCCAGTGATAAACTATCATCGACCCATCTTAGTGATTGTAAATCTAATAATTGAACATCAATTAATTGATCGAAAAATCAACAACAGGTGACGATTATGGTTGATTACGAATTGAAAATTGTTCTACTAGCAAATGATGTTATATTGATGGTGGTTGTTCAATTTGAGGTTCTTCGTTTAATAAACCTTAATTAGAGATTGCTAGGGGTGTCAATTTAAGCTAATGGGTTTGGTTGAGTCTAATGTTGAATCGATCCGATTATGTTTAATCTGAACATGACCAGTTTATTTTATGGGTTAAAATATTTTATCTGATTCGACCCATCTTCCCCATTTTTAATACGGATTATGCAATTTTTTTAGACAATCATCACTCAACTAACCTAAAAATGTCTCATTTTAACCCAATTAACTAACTCGAGAGTAGTTATCATGTCAATTGCAGGCTAGTCATGTCAACTGAAATAATAATTAAGTCTACATGCTTTACTTGAACCCGATTCGAATTGTAATTAGTTCAACTTGAACCGGATTTTCTTAGTCGAGTTTAGGTTGGTTATTGGGTCAGGTCATTTATCAACACGCATATAGATCGGTTTGAATTCTATTTACTGCGTATTTTTTATCCATTGGTATGTATTTAAGTTATTTAATTATGGTGGGTAGTTAAATTTTAGCAACTTGAACCCATCTTAAATTTTTATTATTTTGGATATTGAGGCATGCATGAGTGCTATTTTGTATTATGGTTTTGTTTTCCCTGCCCATTACTTGTCCTCCACTTGTATATTTATATGTATGAGGCTATCTCTTAGTTGCTCACACTTCCGTTTCCTTGTTGGGTTTAGTAAGTTTTTATGGAAATAGGAGCTAACTATCTTTCAGTACTCCATGATATTTGCCTGCCTTAGATTCTTTATATATTTTTGTGAAGATTGCTAGCAATTTATTACCGCTGTCAGTTGTATCATTTTGGGTAAAGGGAGGCAATCTAGATCATGTAGCCCGAAAGATACTTGTTGATTTGTGGCACAAGCAACATATTACTAGAAATATATTAAAGGGAATCCCACGCTATATGAGTGAATGGAAGTTTAAGAACTATTCAAATAGAAAAGTAGACCAATGTTGAGAAGAAATTACTCGAGTCATGATATAAAAATTGTGAGCTGTTTAGAAGTATATACCAACAATGAATAAGAACAACTTGAGTTGGGATTATAATCATTCCGACTAATAGTGATGAGTTTGGGGCAAACCCTGTTAAGCTACAGCGGTTAATAAAGTTAGATATGTATTTTACTACCCTTATATGTAATTTTAATTGATTTTGCTTAAGAGCGATTGGAGATACCACAATGCATGATATGCCCAAACCACATTCTGAGAATTTTGTGATGCTGTGCGTAACATAATGATCACATTTTATTAACATAACATAATGAGTACATGCTTATGTATTAATAAAATGTTGAGGTGTATATGTGACTAGGGAGAAATGTCAATTTCATATAAATGTTTTTAGGGGGTCTTCTTTTTGTGCAATTGACTGCTATGGATAAGATGTCCTTCATGTTTATTACTATCAATTATGGAATGAACAATCCAACTGAACTAGGACACCAAAGCTTGACGTCCCATAAGAACTCCCGCCAAAGTTCATATATTTTCACTCCTTGCATGTTTGACTTGTGGTAGATTCTTTTTTGATAGCATGATGTAATTATTGAACTAGGGCAAATAGTATAGGAACCAATGATTTGAAAACTAGATTAGACATTGGGCCGTGAAAATGTTCAATGGCTCAACTTGATCAAACTGAGCTTTAGCTATGATGATGTAAATATTATTAATATTAATTTAAATTATTTACTAACCTAATTTTTTAATTGTTGATCTTAAGTGAGAATATGTGTATTGATAAAATATAAACTTACAAAAAACAAATTCAAGGATTATTACGTTCTATGGCAATCTCTCCATTGCATGTTGTGGTCAAACTAGTTCAACTGTCTTGGTTTCGCAGCTGAGCGGTTCTACCACTAATTTTATTAGATATGAATTCAGTTTTCAGCGGTAACGAACTTGTTTGAGGATTGGTTCTCTGTTTGACTAGTTCAACCATTCTTCTCAACTTCGTAACCATGGTTGAAACATGGACTTGAGTAATGCTATTTGTTATTTGTCACTCTTTTTGGGACATGGTTATCGGATATGTTTTATATACTTGTTTGCTAATTGTTATATAAGTGTTTTGAAATGATTTGTATCATCAAATTATGGAATCGTGTTTGTTTTAAGTATTATCTCCACGGTGAGTGCTGATTTTTTTTTTAAATTTTAGTAAAGAAAATTTAATCATTATTAAACTATTAATTATGTTTAATTTATCTTAATGATATGTTAACTTATGTTTATGCATTAATAAAACATCATAATGTTTTGGATAATGAGGTTTAACAAGAAATCATCTAGACAATTTTCTTAACTTTCTTCATTTACAATGGCTTATTTCTTTCACCAAGCAAGGCTTAACCCCCCTTAAGGCTTAAACTTGCAATTTATTCGCTTAACTTAATCCCCAACAAAACATGCCCTAAATATACATTTATGGTTAACTTGTATGTCATTACATGCCATATGGGGTGCTTGACAGAATACTTTTAATAGGATTTAGCCATGGATTTAACTTAAATCCAACCAAACACCAAAAAATTTGAAATTAAATCCAACACTCTATTGAATCAAAAATTTTCACAGTATATCTCTTTTTATCGTGTTTCATCTCTTTTACGAATAAATCCAGATTTAATAAATTCGTTTGCATGGCGGATTAAGGATTTATTCCGTCGTCGCTCGCGAGCTCCATCTTCATCGCACGGATTTATGGGATTTACCCGATTTGATAAATTGTATTTAACATAAATCCAGGTTGCAACCAAATACCACCTAAGTCTTGCATGTTGCTAGATATTCTTTGATATTAAACTTGTGAATGTTTGTCAGTTGTAATTAAAAGGAGGTTGGAAAAGTCGTGTTAGAAAAGTCTGCTTGGTGACGTTTTTTGATTAGTGTAAGTTCTTTTATATTGAATTTTGGCATAGTTTTCACTTATTTAGTCCACTTCTTAGGCCATTGTCGAGTTCCTTTTTTTGTGTTAACTAAATTAGAGTCATATGGAGTCATGTTTTCTTCATAGCAGAACTTACATAAGGCCACTAAGAAGGTAACAAAATCTGATCACTTTACTTTTGATGGTCAGATTTGCTGCTAAAAGTGCTCCTTAACTCCTAAGGAAGCCTCTTTTAGGTTTTATTCTCTTATATGGTTATTTTTTGTTTATTATCCTATAACATGATACAGGATAATGACATCAACAACTATATACTCTATTAATATTTTTCTATTTTCCAAACTTTTAAATTTTGCTGATAAGAAAGAAAAGTAAATACATAAGTTGAGAGAATTAGATAGGAGTTCCTGACTTGAGTAAATTAAATTTTACATTTTTATCTTAGTTTTTGTGGAAACAATATCATTTCTATTCAGTACTCAAATTTTCTTACAGTAAAGAAGTGTTTTTTCCTACAATTTTTTTCATCGAATTGTTACTAACTTTTGGAGTATTCTTCTAAATGAATCAGATTTATCGGAGATTCCATATCAAAAGCGGGATGAATTAAGGGCTTTATGCAATTTTGAAGTAGTGCCCTATTCTTTGACACTTGGGTATTCCTATTGGGGTGCAGGTAAGGTAGCCTTGCCTTTTTTTTGCTTTTTGGTGAGTCTAAATCCTTATATCTCATTTATTCTCCCAATACTTCTATGTACAATGGATTCTTCATGAAAGATACATTTGGCTTTCTTTACATGTCACTGTTATATTATATGTTCCTTTACCAATGAAATCTAATATGAACAAGAGGTCTATAGTGGATTGAAGATTCGGGTTTTCTTTGTTTTATATCATAATAGCCATTTCTCAAGTTTATTTGACAGAAGTGCCATTTCTTGGATTCTGTCTTTTGAGAATTATGGAATTTAAAAGCAAGGAATTTAACATTATTTCATAAATCTTAAATTTTATTCAAAGGCAAAGGTCAAAATTAACTTCTAGTAATAATTATTTGATTGAGTCTCCTTAGTTCTAAGTACAAAATTCAGTTGTTTTAATAGCTGTCATAGCATAACTAAAGAGTACATGTGAAAGTAGCTCAATTATGTAGTCTTGGGAGAGGATTATCATCACCTTTAACTTTGTTCAAACATTTAAGGCTCTATTTTTAAATCCTTCTTACAATCTACTCATATCAAGTTTTTATTATGATGTTAACTTTATATTACATAAATCTTTTTGCACAGCTGTTGGCAATGCTATTTTTAGCTTCTTCCTTCTTTTCTTCATGTTCTTTTCACATGAATTATTTCTTTTTGTCTTGTGTATCTTTCTCTTAGTGTTTTTCATGCTTAACTCATCTTAGGGTAGTCTATATAGTATCTTCAGTAGGTGCGACTCCTTCTCCCTTGTATAATCATTTTAAGCTCTTATGTATTTTTGCTGCACATTTTGTTTTCTTCTTATGCTTTATTGAATTAGTTGTGACCAACCTCTTAGCCGTCTAACATTTGAATCTTTATAACAATCTCATTTTATTTGAAGATAAAAATTTTCTAGTTATCATGATGAAATTTTCCTTTAACGGGCAAGAGAAATGTCATTGATAACAATGAATATTTTCTTGAAAGGGTAGCAAAGATTACAAATAAGATTGTCATCGAGCCAGTATAGTTTTTTATTAGTTAATGTTAATGTTTGAAGAGTTTCCAACTTGAAGTAGTTATGATGACCGATGAGTTAATATTATTTTGCTAAAGGAGCATCTGCATGCATAGCACACAATTCTCATGTACTTACATATCTCACACCTAAATATTCATATTTACACACACAACACTCAAATCTTTAATATCACATCAAAAATAATAATACTACCACTTTTTAAAAGTCAAATGAACCTTTTCATGCATAGGCTTAAAGCATAAAATTGCTATATATGTACATATGGAAGTTTAGTTGTTAGATATGTAAATACATAAGAATTGTGCGCTATGTATATATATTTTCTTTTATTTAATTATGAAGATTGTAATATTTTTAGCAAATTATATATGTCCAATCGACGAGATATTTGCTGAAATTCTTATAAAATTAGAATGTAGGAAATTTGCTTATAAGAAATACAACTTATAGTTAGTATGACACAACTTAAAAAGGCTTGAAATTTGAGAATTGCTCAAAATTTGACTCGAGTTGATTTTGAGCATCTTCCCGATCTCAAAATTGATTTTGAGTTTGCTTTGATTCATTCAAATATAGTTTGAGTCGACTCTTAATTTGACTTCTTGTAAGTAATTTTATAGAAGATATAATCTATATGATGAGGATGGTGTAAGACAATGGCTGTTTGAGATGGATTAAAATCACTAAGAAGTGATCTAGGTGGACTCATTCTCTTTCTAGGGTCAAGAGATCAAATTTTGGTAGAGGAGCTCAATTGGAAGTGCTATGAGTGGAACTACGGTTTCTTTCACAGAATCTGGAGGTTTTGCTATAACCACTTTTGAGTTTTGTCTACAAACCTCAAAATCGTACAAATAATCACTTGAATTATAGGATAGGACATTAATCATTGATATGAAAATTTTGATAAGTTTTGGGATTTATTTGATTTGCAGAAACACAAATATATTGAATATTGATCAGTTCTGACCAGAGGTGACCTTGTTTAATTTAAATTGGAGTTAGTATTAGAAGTACTCTAGTATTCATCAGGTGTGTTTTGTTGAGTTTGGACCATTGGGGATACGGGTTTGGGGACAAAATTTAAAAAAAAAAGAATTGGATACAAAATACAAAAATTTAGGGCTTTCTTTAGGCAAATTTTTTTCCAATAATTTTAACATAACATTATAAATATTTTTGTATATTTTTGAAGTAAGGAATTAGAGGAATAGAATGATACCAAATTTGAAATTTTTGGAGATGATTTGATGGGTGAATTGGGGCAAATGACTAGAGTGGTAGAGATTTAAAAAAAAAACAAATTTATGGATTCTTACTTAAAACAACAAAATGATAGAATAAAACATAAGATTTAGGGTTTTTATTTTGGATCATAAAAATAGACAACACTACTAACACAAACAACACATTATTTGCTTGAAAGAAGTGCAGAGAAATGAAAATTCATACTTACCAAAGTAGATTTCTCAGAAGATCACAAAATCCCTCGGGTGGCCGACCACCAAGCCTCAAGCCAATGGAGAATAATTCTTCTAAGTGTTTACACAATCAAAATTTTATTCATTTCAGAGCAAAAATAATTTCAAATACGAATCTAAGCACCATTCATCACACCTCTTCACTACTAAAGCAACCAACCAAAGAGAAAGAAAGTGCAGTGGCCGCCCCCCTCTTGCAACCACACAAACCACCTTGGCCGACCCCCTTTATCAGCATCCACTCCATGCATTGACCAAGGGTCAATGCCACATAGGTATACTTTGACTCCATGTAAGCAATTGCTTGACTTCAACATAGTCATAAATACATACAATTAACACACAACATGAAGGAAACTAAGTGCTACATAACATATTGAAAGTCTCTAATGCTTCAAAATTATCAAAGTCCTCTCAAGCTTGATTTGGCCGTAGATTTGGATCTAGTAGTTGGGCCACCTCCTCTAGTTTGAGACCTAGTGATGGGGCCACCGCTGTATGCCACATCACTATATGATGTAATATATCTATAATTCATATTTTGGTATTATATTTATCTTGATTAAAGTTATGTTTGTCTCAAAATCAAATCATTTGACTCAAAATGGTATTGATTTTTTGATGACTTTGAGCCAAGCTTTTATTTTTCCATTTCAAGTTCGAGTTGAGTTTAATCGACTGAACTCAACTCAATATCACCACTAATAATATGAAATTTTAGTGGGTGTAATTTTAACAATAATCAATTAATATTGTTTGAAGATAATGTGATTTCTAGGTTTGATGAGTTTAAGTATCTTGGGTCTGACCTGTAAAAGAGTGAGGATATAAATGTTTTTATAATTTACATGGTTAAGGCTTGGTGACTAACATGGAGAGCTATCTCAAGATGATATCATGGAGAAGTTAAACTTTATAAAATTATTAGAAAATTAGCTATTTTATATGAATCCATGTGTTGAAAGTATGTAAATTATTGATATTTAGCTTTTGTGAGAAATTAGAGTATTAAGCGAGATGTGTAGCAAAATTAAAATGAAAAAAAATAAGGAATGATGATATTAGGTGCATCATTAGAGTGACATATATTAAAGATAAGGTAGTTGAGAACGAACTTAAGTGGTTTGTACAGTACATAATAAGGGTAGAACTTGCATCTATTAGATTGGGGGATTAATTTATTGTTGAATAATTAAGAAGGAAGTGATTTGAAATTGGTTGAGAGTTCTCAATGTTACCAAAAATATTTGTGATCAACTCAATACTACAATATGTATGTATTATGTTACCAACTCTTCTGGAATTACGATGCTGAAGCCTTATGAAGGAATGAATTTTCAAAGATCAAGAAGATCAAGATTATGGTTGGATTAGTATCTAAAGTTTCCTAATGTAGAAGTATGCTATGCATGCGCTCATGCGAACTTTGATTTCTTGAATGTTACAGGGATCAAGCAAATTGTAAGGTACCACATAGATGATTGAATGAGTTGCAAAATAGATTTTTATCATTTAAGTAGTCTCTCAAACCCTAGTTAGGGTTTCTCCCAATGGAAATTCCCATTCTCCTTGGATCTTTTGTCTAAGAGAGAGAACAGCGAGATGTCTCTTATAAAATTTTATAAGAGAGAGGGTAAGGGTTGACCTTCCTTGGATGTTTGCTTGAGATTAGTGAGAGCCATCGGATGGGACATTGGTATGTTTTCCAATCACAAAATCAAGTGGGGAGTATGTAGCCATTAGAATGAAAGTAAGGCCTAACATACGATAGGAGAGATGATGATTTCTGCGAAGGATTGATAGGATAGAAATTTATTTTATGCTTTTCAAGCTTGAGAAGTACAATCTAATTGGCCTCCTATTTTTATCCTTATCTTTTAATGACTAAATTAAAGTACAAAACCTGCCTAATATAATACTAATCCAGTTGCATCTAAATATAAACAATTATCCAAAAGCATTGAAGTGCTAGTAAAATAATCCAAATAAATCTGAATCCTTCAAAAAAATTCAGCACCCTTGATGAGAATGGCATGAAAATGTGTAAGTTGCTGATTTTGATCCCTTTTATATGAAGTATATGTATCTTTTGACTAGTGTGGATCCACTTGCTTGATTTAAGCCTAATTTGAGTTCGTGAACCCTGATTTGGCATTGGCTAAATCATGAAATTAATTGGCTTTGGATTGAATTAGTGTTTGTAGAGTCTCTTAGATCAGTGAAAAAAGTTGTTGACCTAAGGTAACATGAAAAGAAATTGTTTAGAAATTTTGGAAAATTGACATACATGCTACACAATTCTTATGTATTTATATATCTAACACCCAAAGTTTGATATTTACATTTATAGTTTATTATAAACCTATGCATGAAAATGTTTGTTTATTATAAACCTATGCATGAAAATGTGTATTTCACTTTTAAAAAGTTATTAATAGTGTTATTTTTGATGGAGTGTTAAAGATTCTAGTGGTATGCATGTTAATATCGAAGTTAAGGTATTAGGCCTAGGTTTAGCATCCCAACAACACTTAGTAGGAATAAATGTAAAGTGAGGATTCAGAAGCTATAAAAAGTTGTTAAGATATGGCTGATGATTGTTATGTTAATGAATGATATGCATGCTCAACACATGTGCAATGATCTATGTTGTTATACTGAATTATAACCTTATGGCTAAGTTAAGTTTAATCAAATCCAGAGCTTAATGTTTTGGCAAGGACTTCAAGGATTTCTGCCGTAGAAGTGGTGGAGCAAAACTGATGTATCGATAACAATGACCAACAAAACGACTTGTAACTGGTCGATCTATCGTGCAATTGAATTGGGCATTGGTGATGTATTTTTAATGGGAGATATGCTGATCTCTGGAGATAAAATTTTGTAAAATAAAATGATTATGGTATTGTATGGATTGTAAGTTTTGTAAATAAATAAAATGGAGCTACTGACATGAATGTATATTAATAGGAGATCAGTGAGATTGATGAATGTTAATACTTAGAGGGGTGGGTTGCAAAATGGTTGTCAGAGAATTTGAGTAGCATGCAATGATGACAAGCAAGCAGAGAAGATTGAGAGTAAGATCTTTGTTATGTCCTTTTTTTAAAAAAAATCTTGATCTAGCATTTTTAATTAGCTGAACCAAATTGTAAATGTATCAACTGAAGGACCATTTGATGACATACTAGCTTAGTCGTGGTAGTGTTATTGCAGACCATACAACTCATAATCAAGTCACAAGAGAAATATGTGAGCAGGTATTCAGTTTGTTGCAATTAGAACAAGTTTACTTGTATTTTTAATTCTGTATTATTATATACGTGAAGATTCTTAATTATGAAATACTAAAATTGATTAGCTTTTTTAATTTGATTTATGATGTATATAATTTTGTTTTATTTGTCAATCTAGTCATTTCTTCATATTTATTTATTTATTTTCCTGTATTATTGTATATGCGAAGGCTCTTATCATCAATTGAGTATGTAATGATGAACTTGATTAGCTTTGTTAATTTGATTGATGCTGTATACTTTTCTTTCGTATGACAGATTAGCCATTTCTTGATATTTATTTATATATTTTCTTTCTTGTTTCATAGATTTCTATGTTTACTTTGATTGAAGTGATTGGTTTGAAGGAAATGAAATTTTTCTATAGAAATTTTTGTTGGTTATTAGACAATATAATTAATTTTATTTTACTTTCACCTTTTGATTTGTGAAGATCACATCTTGAAGCAAGTACTACCATCTGGTGTAGAGGCTCCTTCTTCTTTCGAAACTATAGTTAAGTATTTTTGTTTATTGTTTGTTTCTGAATTTCTCAATCTCCTGTTTTTGTTTTATCATGTGTTTGGTACCTTACCCCAAATTGTAGTCACTGTTAGATTCTCTCTTACTCTGATGCTTCTTATTGTAATTTTACCTTATGATACGACTTTTTCTAACACAATATTTCATCTCCAGGTCATATTGCTCATTTGAACATAACTGAAGAGCTGCTTCCATACAAGGATATCATTGCAAGTGTCATCTATGATGTATGCCAGCCTACTTTGTTTCTTTTTATTATTTGTATCCAGTTTCAAAATTCAGTTCGCAAAAGTTTTCAACAACAGTTAATTACATTATAGTTTCTGAGGCTAAGAGATATTTTACCTTGGTTCATGTTTCTAAAAACAATTACCTTATGCTCTTAATGAATATTTCTTTTTCTAGATTTTACTCAATCCCCTCAAGAGTTGCTGCCTTCATATTACTTCTTTGCCAATATCATCAAAATTTGTCTTAAAAAATGTTATATAAACTATCACTTGACAATTTCCTTACAAAAATCCAGGAAAATGAAACAATTTCTATGAGGAAGGTGACGTGAATGGGGGCCATGCCCATCACCCATTGTTGATTTAGTGTCTAAGCTTGTATTTATGGTGATCCCTTAGTGGAGTGAGGATAGATATGCCTTAATTTTTTAAGTTTGTAGTTATTCTACCCCTATAAAACAAAACAATTGATTGGATAACTTGAGTTAAGTTTGTATCACTTTTGGTTCAAGCTTGAATTTTGGATGATTGTCAACACAAAAGGAGTTTTTGGACGTCATCCTTAATAGTAGGAAGAGATGTAGAAGATATTTGCCTTCGCATTAATTTGAGTGGTATCAAAGACATCGACGATAACATTGTGGATCAATCAATTGTGGTTGTTTTGGTTTGGAAGCAACAACTATAGGGTGTGGAATGGCAGTGGTGGTTTGATTTATCAAATATGGAGCTTGAAGTGGAGAAAAATGAGGGAAGGGGAGGTGTCACGACCCGGCTCGAAAATTACCAAGGCGGAGATTGACGGTCAGATGGAGGAAAACTAGCTAATAGTTTCATTTCGTAATTAAATGTAAACTAAAACACAAAAGAGCCATTCTGCTTCATAAAATTTAATTTACAACAATTTATTCATATTTAAACTTTTACTACTGAAAGAAAAGCAAAAACTATAAACTGTAGTTCCAATCTCCCTGAGCTCCTTTATGTTTGTACAAATGTTCTATAAGATCCATCAATGTTAAAGAAGGTTTTTTTTTGAAAAAGTATTAACAACTGAAGGTGTGAGTTAAACTATTGAGCATGTTAAATATTTATTAATCATAGTAATTCTTATTTTAAAAATATTTTGTAAAATACAAGCAGTAAAAAGGCCGTGACCAGTAAAAAAGAAGCATTTTTTTCATTTATTTTTATTCATTTTAATTACAATATCTGTCAGTGGGAGTCACCAAGTAAACATATACTAGAAGTATACGTTTAACCTTAAACAATGCATTGAAAACGTAGTCAACCATTTTAATTTCTATTTTCATTTACATTTCCATTTTGATTTGCTATATATATTTACATTTACGTTTTCATTTCCATTTTCATATTTACATTTACATTTTCATATAGTAGCAAATTAGACTTGATTGGCTTCTATCAGTTATATCCTTCTTTCATTTGAATTTTAACCTATACATATTTGCTTGCATTTTATCTTTTAAAGTAGTATTTGGCTATTAGTACTATATACTTCAGCAAGTTTTGATAATATTTATGAAAAGCCCTTTCAAAGTATATTGTAAAATAAATGCCTAAAATCTTTTTTTTTTTTACAATTATATGTTTAAACCTAGGGCCTAGGGTTTCTGTCCTAATTTCACTTGAAATTAACATAATAAGCAAACTTGTTCTTAAATTCTTCTTTCATACCTGAAAATTTCATATTAATTTTCTGATTTAGCCATCTCGCTAAGTTTCTAAACTCATTTTAACTAAAATGAATTAATTTACATATAGGTTTCTAAAATTTCAATTTAATTAAATAGGAATTAACTTCTTTAATTTAGTGAAACTGATTTCGTACTTGAGTTGTAAAATCCTTCCCTCTGCTCACTGTCGAGCCTTCTCCTACGATCAAAAAGTCACAGGTGCTTGCTCGAACATCTTATGTTAATGAAAGTGCTTCTTCTTTTAGCCTCTTCCTAAATCGTGAGCTTACAGAGGTCGGTTGAGCTCTCTTGGATGCGGAAAGCTCTGCACTACAAGGGAAAAGACGCAAGACAAGGGAAAACCACACGTTGGGTCTCTCCTTTTTGCTCTGTCGATTGATTAGGGCACAGATCTCTTAGCAGGAGCTTACAAGATCTCGGCCGAGGCTCTGTGAGACGCACGAGCTTCCCTCGTGCTTGGTTATGGCATGGGAACCCTCGATTGAAGCTCGTCTCCTTCTCCTCTCTCCGCTTGTTGCTCGTGGTATTCGACAGAGCCATTCGACTCCTCCCTTTTCTCGTTCTTTTTCTTCTTTCTTCTTCTACCTTTTTTTTCTATTTCTTTCTCACTCTCTTTCACATTCTGCTCTTTCCTTGGCTTGCTTGTGCGTTTGGTTTGAAGGAAACAAATGAGATGATTAAGTTTTAAGTAAAAGCGGCATGCCAAGTCTTCTTCAAACGAAACCTACTGTGTGGTTGTCGTGAGCGAGTTATAAGATTTTTTATTTATTTTAATTAAGTTATTATAAAATTAAGATTTGATTATTACAGGAGGGGATGCATGTGGTGTCAATGTAGATTCAAGGAAGCTCACTGTTTTTTTTTTATGATGGCATGGAGCTGATTGAGTTAGCAAATATCTAATTATATGGCTTGGGAGGTAGGCTATTTTGTTGTGGAGTAGAGAAGGATGGGTAGGGGAAAAATGGTGGCATGGCTTGGGGGATTTGGGAGAGGGAGCTAAGATGAGTGAGAGGTAATGAGGGATTTTTTTTGTGGTTTCTTCTTTTAAATTTTTTATAGTAAGCAAATTTCTTATAGTAAGCTGTTATATGATTGAAATTTGGCTTAGTTTATATCATCACAAAGTGTAGGCTCCACCATATTTTGTTGTCCACTCATTGTCAGTATATAACCTTTTTGGATTTGAATGTGTATCAATATTTTTTTTAATATAACATCCTATTTTTATAAACAGACACATATCTTTGTAAAATTTATATATAAATATGTCAAATTGTTAATCTAGGAAACCTAGTTAGAGCTAAATTGAACTCATTTATTGCTAGTCAGCTCGATCGGAAATTATCTATATTTGAGTTCCCTTAATTCGTAAAGATCAAATCATCTTAGTTAGAATATACAGTTTTGCTAAAACCCTCATGTGAGATGGAGCAGGGAGTGAGGGAGAGGGTAGGACTGAGACGGATGATAAAGAAAAGAGAGAAGTAGAGAAAGGGATGGAAAGTTAAGAGATCAATCTCTCCACCACTGGCTATTTCCCTATGTTTATGAACTTAATATTTGTCTAAAAGGTGGCACTGTTTTCTAATTTTCAGGATCATGTGGCCAGTCTCTTTATTTTATGATTTTTGTATTAATTATTTACCTTGCCTTTGAATGTATCTTTGTGCAAATTATTTCATGTTTTATATTTCAATTTTCTAGAATTAAAGTTCTTGTTGGCAACTCATGCATGGGATTTAATTTTTGGACTGGTATTTTCTTATTCTATTTTCAAGAAGCACTGATACTTACCAGTCCTTTCCGCATGTAACTAGAACTTCCAAGTTTGCAAATAAAAATAGATTGTAATACTATATCAATACATGTTTGAAATATGGTGGAATTGTGCAGTGCACGCGTTCCACATAAGCTTATGGCATGTTAATATCTGTTGATACTTCAATAGTATTTCATTATTAGCTTTATGAGATATTTTAATGTTTTGACAATGCAATTTTTGCTTTTGATGCACCATGATAATCATGTGTTCATGCCTTAGAATCGAAGCTTGTGGTTCATTGTTTTAGATAAGCTATTTCGCAAAATTGCCAAACTTCCTTTAAAAGAAGTTTTTTAACATTTGGATAACTGTCATATTGTAATGTACTGATATCAGTTTTTATACCCATTTTTTATAGCTCTTTTCATGGCCTAGTTTCTTCTCAGAATCTATGTAATGGTCGGAATTCTAGCTTATGTTTTTTTTATTATTATTTTATTTTTAAAGTTTTTAATATTTTGCTTCCATTCGGGCATATTTAGAGTTTCCAGGCATATATCATCATATTTTTTTTCTTTATATATGCAGAAAAACCAGCCGAAAATTAAAACCGTGGTGAACAAGGTTGGAACCATAACAAATGAGTTTCGGGTGCCAAGTTTTGAAGTCCTCGCTGGAACAGATAATATGGTAACTGAAGTTAAGCAATACGGTGCTACATTTAAACTTAATTACAGTTTGGTTTATTGGAACTCAAGACTCGAACATGAGCACATACGGTTAGTTTCGCAGTTCCAACCTGGAGAAATCATTTGTGACATGTTTGCTGGAGTTGGTCCTTTCGCCATCCCTGCAGCGCAAAGAGGATGCTTTGTATTTGCTAATGATTTGAATCCTCATAGTATTCATTATTTAAATATCAATGCGAAGATTAACAAGGTGGAGAATAATATTATTGCTTATAACATGGATGCTAGAGAATTTATGCGCCATTTAATGATAGTATCAAAAACTAAGCTTTATATTGAAAGTCCAGTAGTTGAAGGTCCATCTGAAGGTGAGCTATCTGGTAATGTGGGATTAAGCTTAAGCTGCTGCAATGTTTCTTCTCCTTCAGAACCAGGAAATAACTTGTGGCCTTATATTGGTTGCAGATGCCGGTAAAATGTTGGAAAATAGAACCACATGTAAAGAAGACATTGATTATGCAACCACAACAGCACATCCTGCTGCTAAAAGACGGCCTACATTTGGCGGGAAAGGTAAATGATTTGGAATGCACAAATGAATGTTATGGAAATCTAAACACAGTTTCACCTCCAAGTTCTTGATTGGGATAAGCTATCTTTATTGTCTTGAATATTACTACTGTTAGAAAAATAAATGTAATTACCCATAATAACTACTTAAAATGGAAGTTGTCTTCCTGGCAACCAAGTACTTATAACTATGTATTAATTGCAGCATGCAAAAATCTGAGTGAATAAACCTATTTGTTGCAATTTATAACTAAGATTTACCTTTTGTGGTTTTCTATTGCTACCTTAGATTCTCTTTCCC